CGCGTTTGGAAGCTGTATAGTCTGCGGTAGGCTGACTAGTGATTAATTCACGTCCGAGTTTTAGTTGTTTGTTTCGTCTAGACAAGCACTTTTATTTCAAGGCGGGAGAAGGGAGGGCGGGTGGGAGATTCGGAGGGTATCTGGGGTTTTCTCGGTCATGGACTTGTCTAAGCCCGCATTTGACGTCAACTGATGACGCAGGTGAGCGTGGTTTGTTTAAGACTGGGAACGGTGAATGCTCTTATTGATAGCATTGCAACCTAGACACATGTTTGGCAGTTAGAGGAAAAGGAGACAAGGTTGGATTAGCTCTCTCCCTCGCTCATCCAACAAAACGAATGGCATGGACCCACGCTTGCATGGGAGAATGAGTGCAGGGTGCAGCTTATTTGTTGTAGGAGAGGGTAGAAATGTCAATGTGATCTGGGTTACGTTTAAGCTATTCTAGGTGTGTCTTAGGTGGTTTTAAGCAAGCTATCTCTTCCCGTTTACGAAGGAAGGGTCATTTTCTGCATTAGCAGGAGTTAATTCCCCTCGTTGACGTCCATACACCCTTATATGATAAATAGAATTACTAATGAACCAAAAAACCACCTGATCTCTAGTGATCATTTCCCCGAAATGCTTCGTTGTGTTGAGTTAGATCAGAAGGTTGCCTTTTGACAACCTTCATTTAAAGGTCAGAACTCTTTTTTAACGCGGATCTTAACCACTGAAGTTCTTGTGCTTTTCGGGTTTAATGTAAATTTTGAACACTAAATGTTGAAAGAACTGGGGCGTTGCGTATGCATGAAATGCTGGTATCAGACAGTCAACAAACTGATGCTGCTTGGTATATGGAGGACATCAACGTAACTGATTTGATGGTTACTGCTTACTTCCTGATAGAAGCGTTGAATGCATAGTGGACCGACTTTGGGATGTCTGCAAATCGGAAGCAAGCATCCAGACATTGGAAACAGTTTATGTGCCACCATTTTGCGGGTCACTTTCAATAGTGGTATTTGAGTAGATGGTAGTAGTTTCATATTGAAAAAAAAAGGCTTTTGATCCATTTAAATAGTCGTACAAGGCAGCGGGTTCACACTGATTTGGGCAAATGTAAACAGTGGTAATCTAGTCAAAAGATAAGCAATCGGAGCTCGTGTTGCTTTGCTGTACTCGGTTGCAATGTAAAAAGGATGCAAGGTTGCTGGGTGTCGACAGCCATCCTGGTTGTGGAAAAAACAAAACCCATCCATTCAGTGCCCGTGGAGAGGTCCCTCGCCTTCATCTTATTTACAACGGGCCTAGTTAGGCATTCATTTGTAACCGATAAAATGTCATCTGCTTGTGGCGCCTTTTTAGAAGGATGAAGAATGAGTTAAGGCGGGTAATCTTACTGACACTCCCAATTTTTTTCCTCCGCCATATCCCTTTCTGACGAAAAAATCTATTCACGCTTAACAAACTCGCATTAGGGATTGGAATATGTAAAAAGTGTCAAGTGGATTGGGTGTGTTTGTTCTGTGATTTGATATCCTTAAAAAGCGCCTCTTTTTGATGAATACGTACTTCGGCGAGCAAGGATGAAACTTTATGGAAAACTTGGAAGCATTTTGAGATACGCTGCAGTTCACTGACATTTGTAGAGCAACTCATTATAACAAACCGTCTAGCTGGTTTAGAAGCTCGGATACGCAATTCCTTGAGGCAGGCAACAGCGAAGTTCGAATATTCGCATACGACAAAATATTGCAAGTCTACTGCCTATATTAAAACGATTGCCCTTTGTCTTACCTTCACTGCTAGCTCCCTGGGATAAGGAGTTGCACAGACTCCTACCTACCAATATTTAGTGCCACTTTACTCTTAAATCATATTTTAACATACAAACCTTTTGAGTGCGAGTCTTACCCCTTCGATGGACTTGAGCATCGGATCGCTACTTGCTGCATGCTTCATGCAATTCCAATCAACCATAATCTTCATATGACTTCGAATGACAATGCATAATGTTATTTTCTTTAAAATTTGGCTGGATTTGCAAAAAAACTCTACCCCGACATTAGTATTGTGGTGTTACGTTCCACAACTGAGAATCCTCCTGCAATTTTAATTTAAATAAAAAAAAACTATGCTCGTACTAGTCTTTATTTAACTTGCTAAGCATCAAGTAGGCGACATATTAAGCATTTCGTTGTGCCATTCAGTTACTGCTGAGGTCATGTAGTTGGTAACGTTTACATCCTTTCTATCTGGAATGGTGAAAAGTGGATGAATGTGGATGTTTGCATAATTCTTTAACATATATGCCACGAAACCAACACTTTGATAAGGTTATGCTTAGCATTTGGTCCACTAAAGTGGTTAAGAAAGTCAGTTGCAAAACCAAACTACATTAGAGTTTGGCGGAGCGAAAACTCCGATGGAGAAATTTACTGTGTTCCTAATCTCCATTTCCTAAGGGTCGAAGTCTTGGCCATTTGCAGGCATGCTGGTGTTCACCTAATTTTATCGTCAGTACTAGTAGTCTGATGCATGAAATTTCTGCATACAGAATTACTCTTATGAGATTGACAAGTTGGCCATCCCACTTTTGTACAAAAGGAGCTCCGTAAAAGCCTAATAAAAGAGGTGTAAGATGATTAATTAGTTTCGTTATGCGCTTTGGACATTAGATTTTTAATAACAGGATTTACAACAACGCCACGGAACTGCAAGTTATTCGACTAAAAGACGTACAACTGGTCTATCAATCAAGGCAGTAACCGCTTGGTTCTTCCAGCTCAGTAATACTAAGGATGTAAAGTAGGAGTCAAATACGCCGATTTTTTAACAAGTTCATGAGAGAAAGCAGAGGCAAACAGCAGGCAAGGCAGAAGACTCCTCCTCTTCCCTCCCTTTTTTCCACCTTCTGACACGTGCGCGCGCTAATGGGTCCATGCAATAAATAATGGCAATATCATCAAGCGTAAAAGGTTGCACTCGGTAGGAGAGTGAGAGAGATGTAGAGGTGGGCATGCTGCCACATGCCTTCAGTTACAACAGGCCCCAAACACGCCTCTCCCAAAGGAAAAGGGGATGCTCCCAGTTGCCGTGCCACTAAGTGCTACTGCATCGTTCGAGAGTACAAGCTAGAAGGGTCGGGGAGGGGAAGAGGGAGAGAGAAGCAGCACTCCCCACCAATCTTCCTTTCTGCGCGCACCTGTCATCAGGGATTGAAGTGTGTTTGTTTGCCCATTGCTGCGCCACCGCACGGCCTGATCAACGCCTCTACTGCCAAGTGTTTCTGACCTTTTTAGACAGCAGCAACACAACCAGGGGAGTTCGAAAACGCTGCGTTTCGATGTAATTAAGGAGCGATTAATCTAATCAACATTTTGCACACGGCTCTCCAATTATCCACTGCTTGGCATTTCTAGAAAAATGCACGCCGAAATGTGCACGCCTTTTGGCAAACAAATTAATTTGAAGGACCATCGCATAATGCGGATAAGGAAAGATGTGGTTGAATCTGCTATAGAAAAGGCGTTTAATATGGTGACGCAAAATAGCCGGTTTCTTAGATTTTCAATTAGCACAATACAACCGTTTCAAGGCCACTCTGATACCCGAGGCAACATTTAGTGAAGAAGTTGGATTGTCACTTCCCCCTCTGTCTTTCTCGCTCCACTTCATTGAATTGAACAAATGGTAATATCTCTGTTTCGCTTTCTTCGGCTCAGACTGTGGTGGGAATGCGAGCAGACGGCCCATTTGCTAAATTCATTATGCACGTCATTAGGGGCCATCGCAACCGGACTCGACCAAAGGTGGGGTGGATGAAATTAGCAACCAGCAGGTTAGTATCTACTGCTGGCAAAATTAACATAAATCACAACCGGGGTTTTCGGTCCTTATTCGATAAAGAGTCAAGACATGCTATCGCATTCTCTGCCTTAAATATTGGCATTCATTATTACCCCAAAAGTGTGGAGCTTATCATTTAAGGAAACTTCTAAGTGTGTTAAATTTATTATTCGGGACAAAATATGTTTGAATAAGGAGGAGTATTGCCAAAGTAGAAGGTGAGCATTTTGGTAAAAAAATGACATGTTAATCTTAAGGCGTTGCAAAAGAAGCTGTTAAGCATTGATGTAGTAGACATTTAAAATATATTTTGCAAATAAAACAACTTTTTGTCGGCAACTGAACCTTAAGGACGGGAAACGATGTGAGACTACATGCTATGAAACGATGAAACGGTTTGACTTCTATGAGGCGTCACCAATTGTAGAA